AAAAAAAAAAAAAAAAACAAAAAAAAACAGAGAAAAAAAGCAAAACCAGAAAAAAAAAACAGAAAAAAAAACAGAGAAAAAAGTAAAGAAACCGAATGCTGAATAGTCAGAACGCTGTTTAAGAGGTAGTACCCTATCAATTACAGCAGCCATGCCGGTTGCGCTGGTGGCCTGCAGCCTCATAACACAGCTGACGGGACTTTCATGACACTACAAGTCACGAACTTATCCCGGACTGAAAAAGCCCACCTTCATTTTCGTCAGCGAGTTCTTTTTCATCCCCATCATTATCCCATAATTCTGGATCCAGTTTATCTTCTTCACTTTGATCAACAGCACCCATTTCCTGGTCCGCGTTCGGTTCATTTTCTTCACCTTCATCGCTTCCTTCATTATCTGCAATGCAAAAATGGTTCGCAAGAAAAGATGGGCGCCATCCCGGTCGGAGAGCGCCTCTAATCAGAGGAACGTATTTGTTGATAGACGTGATGAACAAATAAGGAAATTCAGGCGCGTCCCTTAATCATAAAAATTTAAATGCCTACCGCTTTGTTCTTCGCGATCGACATCTTCCAGAGTGCCCGCAAAATCATCGTCCATTTCAAGCGGTGTACTTTCACTAGGCTTTTCCGTTCCCTTCTCATCAGAATCATCATTGGCATTGTTGTCGCCTTGCAGCCCTTCAACCTGAAAAAATTTGATCATTACAAAGCGAGGAAGAAAACAATTGCATGGACACGCTACAGAGTTATTACAATAAATAGCTCCGAGTATGAAAACCTGCAGTTGCTGCACTCAAATGACAAACTTGGCCCTAGCCTGTTTGCTACGAACAATGTTTCAACATTATATTAGGTTGTTCGGAAAGTAATTTCCGTTTTGAGATGTAGTTTTCTTTGTACGATTTTCCAGGAAGAGTACCTTTTCGATTGCCGTCGTGTTGCACGTTTTTGAAAAGCTCATTTCACTTACTTTCGCGTCGCGTAATTGGATTGTAATAAAAACTATGTTTTTGACAAACTGTTTCGGCATCATAAATCGTTTCGAGCCTCCATGTTTTGTGCCCGGCTCATTTCTCATGTGAGATGCTAACTGTTCATAAAATAAATCAATGCAAATTTAGCAAGACAAAAACAAACCTGTCCCGTTTCTTCGATTTCCTCACCAACGTCTTTATCTCCACTGGCATCACCCATACCAGCAACATCATCGCAAGGCTGCATTTTATTGCTGCTTTTCGGGTTCTGCTCTTCCTGCACCTGTGGTATTGGGTTTACATATCCCTGAAACAAATAACAGAAATAACTGGGAATCAGTAATGAAGTTTCAACAATGCTGTATAGAAAAAGCAGACGTACACAGAATGGCTAAGAAGGAAAGATAAAGAAAAAAAAATTTTTTTTAAAACAGAAACCTTCTCGAGAAGTGTGGCAGACAGAGCTCCAAAATAAATATAAAAATTGGCCAAACGAATAATATACTGGTCATACAAGTCGACAATATAGGAAAATACTTCATAAGCTGAGGCTGCCTGAGAAACAGCTCCCAAAATGAGGGAATCGGGCGGCATCCATCCATTTGACAATTGCACGCATAAATTCCAAACACTTTCAACGGCCTGCAAGCAAATGTTTTGCTTAAATAATGCATCTCTGAATCCAATTAAGACAAAATTTCACAAATAGAATATTTCACTGCAAGAAAAGCAAAACAGAACATGTACTTTCACTTAAGTACAACAACCGTAACTGGGCAGGAAGAAAAGCAAAAAATGTGCAAAAGAACAGAAAAAATTAGGTCTAATGAGAACAAAATCCAATTCAACTATAGAGGTGGAAAAGTCGTTCAGGTTTTGTAAAATTTAGTCAGACAGACGTAATACTGTGCCTATTTTAACAATAATCAACACGATAAAGTCTGTTTTCACCAAAAATCATAAAAATGATTAAATACGGACAGCTCAAAATGAGTAGCAGCAATAGGTAGGGCCGGCTGCAAAGACAGCTGAAAATACCACGGCAAAATGTAGCAGTATCAGAGTGTAAGGTATTGTACGGCTTAAGAAAAAAAAAAGAAAAATATATTGCAATTATACAAAAAAAAAGCAACAAAAAAACTGACTTTATCCAAACGCGATAGCTCCAAGATTCTTTTTAAAGTGCTCAATGCATCCATGAATCCTGCATGACGAAGCTGAGATGGCTCGGTCTGTTTACAAGCTTCTTGAAATGTGAGTGGTATGAAATGCATTTCGTCCCATTTCCCATCCCGAACAATTTCCTCGAGCGGAGCTGGTTCAGCTAGTGTTTCCAAATTTCGCCAAGCTTCCCGTGCTTCTTCAACCTCCTCAGCCAAAACAGAGTGCAAGCGTGACAACTCAGATTTTACCGTGAGATTTTCTTGTTCGATAGTGTCCAAAACATGCGAAATGTCAGAGCTGCAATAAGATACAATTATTGAAAACGGGCTTGTCTAATTTACGAAAAACGAAACGAAATGCACATCAAAACATCCAGTACCAAATGAAGCTTTGCAGCCCAACAATATAATACAGAAAAATACTTCCAGCTACAAGTATTTTGCTTTTCAAAGCGTCTAAGTGCCTCCGAGCTAAATCTGGCCATTTCTCGGCCTTAAATCTTATTGTCTTTTACTTAATTCTAAGCATTATTTTTTCATACAACTAATTTTGGTGCTCATTATATGCAAATCCATCAATCTGAGGTATGTAATAAATTTTTAGATTTTGTAAGACCTAACAAAATATGCAAATACAAAAATCCGAAACGCGTTCCCTCAACTAAAATTAACACTGGCACAATTACAGTTTTTGGTGCCAGACCATTGCTTTCATTCGGATTGTTGATGCAAAACCCTGGGACTGGGCTATTCACCGCAGCTTTATATATCAGTGCCACAACTTTCTCCATACTACATATCATATAAAAAACACTTAAGAAGTACTAGAAATAAAAAACACTGAAAAAAAAAAACAACGAAAGCTGCTAAAAAAGAAGCTTTGGTATGTCGCTGTGTCGTTATTCGCAGATTAAATCAGAAATTTCTGACTTCAGAATTTGTTCCGCCCTAGAACTGTAATATCTAGCATGCATTTTTACCTGACAGTATCGATCAGAAGACGGAGTGGTTAAAAACATTTCAGCGCTACAATCAGCGTAGCAGAAGTTACTTAAACTGCATAATTTTAAGAGAAAGCTTACATTTTCCAAATGGCGGCAGGCTGAAATCCAGAGAAGTGTACCAATGACGAATGGATAACTCCAAGCACTCTTTCTGCAGCTTCTTGTATACTTATTAGAGAATGTTTAAATAAAATATATTCAGGATGCTGCTGATACAACTTCGACAACACAGTATCCGGGAAAGAACTGATTTCACTGGCCTAAAAAAATAAACGAATAATTTTTTCCATAACAATCCGCGTCTTTTGACTAAGAAAAACATGAGGCTGGGTGAATCGTTTGTAGTATAGCAGTAGCAGCTGACAGAGAGGACCAAAGCACGGTGGAAGGCAGCCTTCGTTATGGCGTTGAGGGGGTGCGAGAGAAAAGAAGGAGGAAAGGAGAATTCGCGGTGGTGTACTTTGCCTGTGATTCGGATTCAATTTGGCTTCAGGAGTTACTGATGACCCTCGCGAATATCTTTCTAAACTTGCAGTGAGTTTTGCAGTTTCGCTCTACCATCCATATGAAATTTTTTTCTACTAATTCGCTATTTTCAAAAAAAAACTTCTTACCTTCTACTTTGTAGTACATGGTTGATTGGGGACAAAAGAGACAATATTGGAAATGTTTGTTCAACCTAGCGCTGTCTTAAGCTCGAAAATTTAGCGACGTACGGATCGCTGCCGTATGACTAGCAAAGGTAGCAGTAGTATAAGATCATGTAGCTACATAACATGGGAAAAAAGCACAATAATCCCTCTCTTTCCTCGCCCACCCACGTCAAAAAAACGCAACTAAAACAAACGACTTCTAGTTAAACTAATCTAGTTTTTATGAAGGCTCATATTCGAGAAAAAAACTGACCTCGCCGAAGCTACTAGCACATTCGTCATCATCTGGAGCATTTTCCAGCTTCGTTTTCATAAATTTCACAATTGAACAAAACCGTAGAACCGAATATTTTGCAGATTGCAATTGACGGAGCCACTGCTGACCACAATATGCGTGGGTTTTTTTTCCAACTTGCGTCTATAAAAAAGTTGAAAATACAAAATTCGCTGACATATCCAGCTTCTTCCTACCGTAATTCTTAAGTGGCAAAACAATCTTCCACTCCTTCCCTTTAATAGGGTATCCACTGAGTTAAACACTGGACCGAATGGCAAGAAATTTCTAAGTTTCGTGCCCACCGAATCTGAAGAGTTCAACGCTATTGCTAGAAATATTCCAACTTCTCACTTGGAAAGCTGCACTTGTACTTTGCTGTTAAACATTGGGAAGTACGGAGTTTGGGAGTGCGGATTATACGTGCTGGAATGCTGACATGTAATACGAGCAAGGTCATTCAGAAAAGATCCTAAATAAGAAGAATGGATATGCGAAATTAGATGTTTTTGCTCTTCTTGGTGTACGTATGTGTTACAAGGTACTCATAGTCAGAAAGGATCTATTACATTTATCTCTTTATTTTTATCTACACCCGACCTAGCATTACAAATCTACACACGTCAACACCGACGGCCGGTATCTCCTTTTCCTCTCTTTTTCCTTTTGCCTCCCATCTCTTATACATTTTCTTTTTTCCCTTGTTTTATATTTTATTTTACACTACATTTACATTTTTCTTCAAATTTTACACGTATTATTCTACACTACTACGTTATACACCTATTATCTATTTTATGCTTTATTTTTAGATGTATAATTCAGCTGCATTCTACAACAATTATTTAACTTTTGATGTAACAATCTTTTCTAACTTGGATAACACGTATATATTATATTTTATTTTAGTACATACTATGATTCTTGCATTTCACTTTATATATGACTCTTACACCTATTCACTTACCTTATCTTTAACATTATATTCTTCCATTTTTAATAATAACATTATGTATTTCGTTGTCGATGCGTATTTTGATAATTACGTACTATTTTAAACATAACTACTTATTACGGAACTGTTCAATTTGTCGATTTTATTAAACAAGGCAATCAAACTATGGACACAACGTGTGATGAACAGGTAAGCAATTAGATTTTCCTATTTTATAATATTTTACCCTTTATTCTTAATTTTCTCCTATCTCTTTAAGAACTTTCAATCCTTGCACTCATTTCATTTCTTTCAATTTCCACATTTAACATAATTTCCATCATTTACATCTTTCCTATCTTAATTAATTCTTATTCTTAACTAAATTATATTGTTACCACAGTCGTCGTACTGACGAGGTTCAACTGTGGTAGCGGTAAGAAATGTATACGACTTAATGGACCGGAACATTTCTTACCTAATTTAATAGTTCTTTTTTACATTCCTTTTTTATGTTTTCTATCATCCTTTCTTACATTTTTCAACAAAATTTTCATTCAACCTTAAATTAGAGAGGCGGTAACAGTAACTGTTCTTCAATAAAAGATCTGCCAAGATCTGCCAATTTTTCAAGAAAAGCCAATTCGATTAAAGGGATGGATAATTCCATCAACCCTGGTCAGAAACTGACCATATTACCAATAGCATGAAAATTTCCGTTAAAAAATACCTTAGCATTTTGTTGATAATTAGCCAAAATTTCGTTTACAGCAGCCAGTTTATTGAGCAATTCCATCGCTACGAAATATGTTTGGTGATGTGTGTGCAGTTCGTTCAGTATAAATTCAATTAATCCTTTTAAAACATTCACTGTTCTTGTTGACAACTGCGCATTTGGTTGATGGAATTTTTTTAGGACAATATTTCGCAATGCTCCTCCTTGTCGAATTAGCTAGAAAACATGAAATTACGAAGAATATTCGTTTGCTTTTCTTTTAAAACAACTTCAGTAAACTATAAAAAGGCAGCGCACATACAATAAACAGCTCTACTGCACCATTCCAGTAACATCACTAACATGGGAATGATAGCATGGGCAGTCTTGGTATTTCCATCGGGCTCGCATATATCACATAATATGTCACAAAATGCTTTCTGGTTTTTGTAAGAAATTGCGTCACTATGTTGTAATACCCTGATCCCCGCTTCAACTTTTGGACATCCTACCCCCGTTGAAGTTTTGCGGTCTTAGTGATCTCTAACTTCTGGGAATAAACCCTGTTTCAGCATTCTAGCTTCTCAGATCCCCGAGTTATGAACTTACCCTAGAAAAAATTTGGCACGCCCGTACGCGGGTACCACGCTTACCCGGGTAATGGGTTTCAATATATTAACACCTACTTGGATGGGGAACATCTCCAGGATCCAGACAGTCGCACTTATTCAACTCGGTTCTGGGGGACTTTGGCTTCCCAGAACCTCACCACCTCTTTTCTTCATTACTTCTATTATGCGTTGTGTTGTGTAATCTTGGTTTTGTATGTAATCACAAATAAATAAATAAATATATATATATATATATATATAACTAGGAGTTTCGGTACACACCTATACACACACACGCACACACACAGGGCAAGTCACTAGTCTAGCTAATTAATCTTTAGGGTCGCGATACTTCATTAACAGTCAAAATAAACTGTACAACAGCTGACCTTTGCTGAGAGCTTATCACTGACAGCAATTCCACCGACAATCTTTGCCGTGAGTTGTTCCGAGTCGATTGTCAGACTCCTTCTGCTGCACAGCCCTTGTTCATCACAGTCTTTTAGCAGACGTGAAACAGCCTGAAAAAACTAACTTTTCGTCACTTCAAAAATTTACGTAAACTCGTCTTTTGAAATCGAGTTTCAAAAATAACTTTTTTAACTTGGCAGAAAAGTTTTTTTATGCGAATGAGTTGCCATTTTCTGTGAACCTGAAGGCAATGCACAA